GGCGGTGGCAGGGTCATCAGCTAGGGTAAGAACCAGGCCAGGTGCGGTGGCTCATGGTTCTAATCCCAGCACTTTGGGAGGCCAAGGCGGGCGGATCACCTTAGGTCGGGAGTTTGAGACCAGTCTGACCAACATGGTGAAACCCCGTCTCTACTAAAAATACAAAATTGGCCGGGTGTAGTGGTGCACACCTGTAATCCCAGCTGCTCAGGAGGCTGAGGCAGGAGAATCACTTGAACCTGGGAGGTGGAGGCGGCGGTGAGCCGAGATCACGCCACTGCGCTCCAGCCTGGGCAACAAGAGGGAAACTCCATCTCAAAACAAAACAAAAGGCCGGGCGCAGTGGCTCACGCCTGTAATCCCAGCACTTTGGGAGGCCGAGGCGGGTGGATCACGAGGTCAAGGGATCGAGACCATCCTGGTCAACATGGTGAAACCCCGTCTCTACTAAAAATACAAAAAATTAGCTGGGCATGGTGGCACGTGCCTGTAATCCCAGCTACTCAGGAGGCTGAGGCAGGAGAATTGCCTGAACCCAGGAGGCGGAGGTTGCGGTGAGCCGAGATCGCGCCATTGCACTCCAGCCTGGGTAACAAGAGCGAAACTCCGTCTCAAAACAAACAAACAAACAAAAACACAAAACAAAAACAAAACAAACTGTAAGAACCAGTGAATGGGCACGGGAGGACTGAGGATGGAGGAGGGCATCTATGCAGTCTGTAGGTCTGTGTGTGAGAGAAGGGGATTGACAGGATTGGGGAGGCATGTTTTCGTCTGAGAATTCAGAAACCTAGCCCTGCTCTTCCCCTCCACGTGGCCCCCTAAGCTGAGCCCTTCTTTCCAGCTCCTGCTTTCCGAATCCTAGCTCCGCCCATGAACTCTGACCCTACCCCTTTCCTCAGCCACGCCCCTAGGCCCGACTCTGGTCGAACCCCGCCTCAGGCCACACCCCTTTGGGCCAGGCTCTACCCCCTATGCTGCAGGCACCTTCTAGAGCCCTCTCCAAAGTCAGAGCTTTTTTTTTTTTTTTTTTGGTGAGACAGAGTCTCACTTTCTCCCAGGCTGGAGAGCAGCGGTGTGATCTCTGCTCACTGCAACCTCTGCCTCCTGGGTTCAAGTGATTCTCGTGCCTCCACCTTCCAAGTAGCTGGGATTACAGGCGCCCACCACCACACCCAGGTACTTTTATGTTTTTAGTAGAGATGGGGTTTCACCATGTTGGCCAGGCTAGTCTCGAACTCCCGACCTCAGGTAATCTGCCCGCCTTGGCCTCCCAGAGTGCTGAGGTTTCAGGCGTGAGCCACCATGCCCTGCCCAAATTCAGACCTCTTTATAGAAGATTCCAACACGTAACCCTGGCCTTGACCCTAACCAAGTCGACTCCAAACCCCTCTCTGCCCCCAGCCCTGACCCAATTCACTGAGGCCTGGCCCCACTTCTTGAGAGCAGTTCCATCCCTAAAGCCCTGATCTCCCTCCCATCCCCAGGCTCCAGCCCCCACAGCCTTGGCTCTATCCCTGAGCTTGTCCAGGAATCCTGTACCCAATTTTACCCTCCTGTGGTGCCACTCATTTCGTTGTAGCCAATTCCAGGAATCCGTGAGGTCCACTTACGAGTCCAGTAACCCTACCTGAGCCTGGGCTCTGTCCTTGGGCGTAAGCCTGGTCTTCAGTGGTGCCACTCTTCTTCTCCAGGCCCCGTCCCTAGGCCCTGGCCCCGCCCCCTCAGCAGGTCAGACACCCACCCTCTAGCTGGTCCACCCTCTAGCTGGAACGCCCTCTGGAGTCTGAGACCCACCCCGAGCCCAAGCCCCGCCTCTGAGACCCGCCTAACCCATTTTCCACCCCAGAGCGTGTTCTCGCAAACGATGACGGTTCCTGTGGCAGCTCCTCTAACACTGGGCCCTCTGGGAGAAACCAAGACCTTGGAGCTGGGGCCAGGGAAGATGCCCGGTCGGACAACAGCAGCAGCCGCATCATCAATGGGTCCGACTGCGAGAAGCACAGCCAGCAATGGCAGGCCGCGCTGCTGCTAGGACCCAACCAGCTCTACTGCGGGGCGGCGTTGGTGCATCCACAGTGGCTGCTCACGGCCGCCCACTGCAGGAAGCAGTGAGTGGGGTTCCTAGAGGAGGGCTGGTGGGGATGGGGAAGTGGGGTCAGGGGCATGGAGGTGAGGGCTGGTGGGGATGGCGAAGTG